GCCCCTGGGGTCCGCCCCGGCTCATCCGCCCGGCCTGGCTCTGCGGCAGGGGAATACTGGATTGACCCCAATCAGGGCTGCGCACGGGACGCGATCAGGGTTTTCTGCAACTTCACGGCGGGAGGAGAGACCTGCCTCTACCCGGACAAGAAGTTTGAGACCGTGAGTGCCTCTGGGGAGATCGGTGGAGGGAAGAAAAGGACTCTGGAAGCCATTTCATTCATTCCCTGCCCCCACGGCCAACACACACCAGGAGATGCCTGGGACTTTATCTTTCCTTCAGCCAACATCTATTGAGCACCTACCGTATGCCTAGTCCTGTGAAGTGCTGGCGCTACGGCAGGGAATCGAAAAGAGGAAACACCTCTTTGCTTTTACGGAACTCATTTTCTGTGGAGCATGACATAAGACAATCTAGTAAAGAAATCAGTAATGGCGAGGAATCCTTAAATAGTGCTCACGCGTACCAGACCTAAGCTCTTGACTGCATTAACTATTGAACCCCAAGCACTCATTTTGGCAGTTTCATCGTCATTCCCCAGGCAGGGAACCTGAGGCACAGAGAGGTGGCAAGTTATCCATGGCAGTTTGGTTCTTGTCCCAGCCCTTAACCACCCATCCATACTGCCTCCTAACTTTATAGGCCCTGTAGGCTTACTGCCCTCCAGGCTGTGGGCTGGAAGGTGAGACCACTTGGTCCCCCAGAAATCCTGGGGTTCTCCATCAGTGAGCCCTGAGCCTAACAGCCTCTGACAACAAGCACCAGCCTTAGCAGTGGAGGGGCAGTGGGTGAGTGGTGCCACCTCTGGACCCCGGACCACCCAGGTTGGAATCCGGACCTGTCACCTCAGTGTCTCCATTTGTAAAGTGGACCCCAAGAAAGTAGCTACCTCATGGAGTGGTTGTGCAATTGACTTACCAATGCACGTATCAGGAGACACCTATTAAATAGTGACTGTGTGCAGTGCTGTGTTAATATCCCTACTGAGTGTAAAACAGGCAGTGAGCACAGGGTTTGCACAAGCATACAACAGCATTCTTATTTATTATTATTTTTGTCTGGTCAGAGCCTTGGTTTAGTGGGAGCTTAGATCCCCCAGTGGGTGCAAATTCACACAAGCTCAGACACCACCCCCACCTCCACTTGTGGGGGCTGGAGTGCAGGACTTGATCTCTAAACAGTTGCTCTCACCAGCTCGCCTTCCTCCTGCCCAGAGAGAGGCTGGGGAGGGGAGTGAGGAACAATAATCTTGGTTAGGTTTCTCCAGACATGGACCCTAAGATGAGGGTTTGACAAGGGCAAGTTTATTTAGGAGGTGATCCCAGGAAGGGGACATGAGAGGGACCAGGGGGAGGCAGCCAGAAAGGGGTGTGTTGTTAAAACATCACCATTGGACACTCAAGGCTCAGTTGCACTGGGGACTTCTGCGAGACAGCATAGGGAAGGCTCCTGGGAGTTTTCCCATCTTGGGAGAGGGAGCTGGGGCATTTATCCACTAACTCTTGTCAGTCATCAGTGGAGGCTGCCTCAGATGGTGGGAACCCCCAGCCCCTTGGGTCTGTCCTGTGCACCAGCCAACCCCAGTCTCATGGCCAGGGAACAGCCTAAGAGCCTTGGATATTTACAGTCAGGGAGGTAAATGCAGAGAGGACTTTGTGGGCACCCAGGGTGTCTGATACAATGCCTTCTCTCCC